AAGTCAATCAAATATTCGTACTGATGATGAATACTTGCTGACACACCATGTACATCGTTCTTCCTCGTCGTCGACAAGATGGCGATGGTTCGAATTGCAGATGTGTATACAGATATTAAAAAGAACAACAATCGAAATTATCCATTTAACTATTTGTATACTTTTTGCTTTGTCAAAATTGATTCATTTTGAAACATTTACGGCATGTTCAACGGCTATGCAACCATTGAGCCAATTACAAGTGCTTAGAAAAAAAAACAAAGGAAACATTCAAGCGACAAGCACTGTACCTTTATGAGTGAACGATTATTGTGTGTGGGTGTGGGTATATCTTCTTTAAATCCATGTCCGCACCCATACCATACCTCGCACACTCACACCCTAGATAGATAAATAAGTAAGTAGGTAGATCGCTCAGTGACAATATCACTGATAAATGTCATATACTAGAGCGAAGCCGGAATATCCCTTAGGAAACTGCCCTTTATGAGGGATTAAATAGTTACTCATACAGTCATTCCCTGAACAATCCATAGGGACTCACTGTAAACGCCCTTGCAAATCCCCGAGGAATCCCTGTCGTGATTTACCTGGGATTTTTTTAAGAGAGGGTCTTGGTATGGGTGCAAGTGAATAAGGTCAACACCCACACCCACATCAATGTCATGCTCATAGAAGTTATTTTTATTTTATGCTTTTCCATTATTTATACAATGAAGTCCTTTCTTGAGTTATAATTGTGATTAAGATAAACTTTATCATCTGCTTTTCAGCTGCAATTGTGTGACAACTTTATTAAATTTCTAAATTACGATTTAGATAAGCTTTATCTTCTATTTTATTTGTCGCAGTTACATGACAGCATTATTAGATTTTAATTTATGATTCAAATAAACTTTATAGTCTGCATTTCTATCGCAGTTATATAATTCTAAATTAGCGTTCAGATAAACTTTATCTTCTATTTTTTTATCGCAGTTTCATGACAGCATTATCAGAATCATAAATTATTATTCAAATAAACTTTCTCTTTTGCTTTTCTGTCCCATTTGAACTATACTAGATGCAGCACAAATATTATAATATTTGATATTTTGCAAATATCACACTATAGATAAATCATAGAGCCTTGATTTTTTTAAAAAGATACGCTGCGAGAAGCTCTACAAAAAAGGTAAGAACACATCCCTATTGACTTGTTCTGATGATATCTCTTATACCCAAATTGAATGGATCATATAACGTTGCTATGTCCCATCGTATTTAGCATAATAGAAATATTTGGAAGACTTTTTTTGTTTTGCAATAAGAATTTGTTCATACAATTTTTGTAGAGATTGTCACAGTGCATCTTTAAAAAAAATCAAGATTATGTGATTTATCTATGGTATGATATTTGCAAAATATCAAATTTTACAATCTTTATGCCACACTCAGTAGTATGAGATGAAATATCATCTCTGAAAATGAAAAGTCACTGTTATATTAACTTTATAGTTTTTCTGTATCGTGAAAATCCTAAAACAATAGTTCCTATACAGCTATTTTTTGTTACGAAAATGTAGCTATTAGTGCGTGTAAAAACACTTTTCGCTGAGTGAGTAGTCTTCAAAAATATGGCATAGAAAAGGAATGTTAAGGAAAATATTTTTACACTCATATAATGACAATTTTTTACCTTTCAGATCTTAGTTTGTAGACTAGATAAACTTCTAGTGTTTTTATGTATTCGTATTGGACATAAAAAGCTATCGTTTCTAATAAAAGACAAAGATAAGATTCTAGGATAAATGAAAAGTCCATTACAAAATCGAAAATCCTTCTCGCAACTAGTCAAAGATCACGATTCCTTCCGAGTACATCTTCGGGAACTTCTGTACCCACTCTTGAAATATTTAGAATCGTTTTTAAACATTCATCGAAAACAGACTAGAGTTGCTGATCACTTGATTTATGGAATTCAATATATGCTTCATATTTGAACCATAACGCCTGCATAACAGAAGCAGAAAGGACGATACGATCTATCATTTTTCCATTCTTAGGCAAGCAGAACGTTAGATTAAAAACGATCATCAGTGCAAAAAAAAAGAACCGAATACTAGATACTTGATCCAAGTGTAACTCTTCATAGCTACATTTGAAATATTTAGTTCCATCACATGAAATACTCATCTCGATGTGTGGTACCATTCTACATAAACCAGTTACGAATTCGATAGAAAAAGGCCCTAAGCGTCGATTTGCGCTCTGATCAGTCTCGTTCTTTGCTGTATGTTCGATCGAAAATAATGACTCAGTATTATTTTGTACGTTGCGGAATTTTGAGCAAATTTAAATTACTGATTTCATTTCTTTCAATAATTCAAATCTGTTCAACCATGATTTTTTTGTCGTTTGATTCATTGATTAAATGCTCCAAAAAGTGAATAATTAAAATATTAACTTTTTGTGATTTTTGACTTCTTGAGTTTGACCAGAACATTTTGTAAGAAATCATCATTATATATAATATAAAAGCAATCGAAATCATTGCATGTGTCCCTCCATATATTTCTGTGATTCTGCACTGTTTCGATGAATTATCCGTTGTTTTCATCCTCCAGTTATTATGAAACAGTAATAAGATTTTTCTTCTTTCAAGATGGAACCATAAGAATAGGAAACAGCTGACGTAATTGCAGAGATATAAGTATTCTAAGTATTGTTTGCATATTATTTATGATAGAAAAGAAGTACAATGACAACAAGTTCATTATCTGTATGGTAAGCACGCAATAAATTTATTTGTCTTCTTCTCTTAGCAACCTTTAAAAGAGAAATACATCGATAGTATGTCAGTTCAGAAGAAAAAGTTGCTTATCTTGATCCTCATATCTATTTACTTTGTTTTTTGAAAATAGTTGAATGTCGAAGCGTATTCATAGAAAGTAATCCAAATCTTCTTTTTTATTTTATTATTGTTAAATGATTTAACATACGACATGATTTTCCCAAGGAGAAAAAAGTGTGACCTCAGCACTTCAAGTAAAACATTTGTAGTATGAGTGAAGTGCAGTGAAGCACGATAAAGCACGCACTCCTGAAGTCTCGCGTTTACCTCCTTGACTCTCCTGCTTTTTATTCACGAAACTTATCCGAACACAAAGCATTCGTCATATCCAACATGAAAGACCAAGCGAGAGAATAGAATAAAATACCAACAGTCCATTAGGATGTGAACGCGAGAGTACGAAACAAGGTAGCACCAGAAAGAAGAACAACAACATAAGTAAGAATAGCAGCAAACAACATGTCGACGAATGGCACACCTCACGTCCCAAGAAGTCTAGGATTGGATGAGGAACAAGATCCTCACAATGAAAGTTTTAATACGTTTATTGATTATTTTCTTTGGCAGAATTATAAAGATAGTTGCAAACAGAATACTTACACTGTAAAGGCAATCTGGCTTCGTAGCAGTACTTCCTGAAAACATAGGACTGCAAAAGAAATTTATATTGGTCATATTCGGTATAAGTCACAAAAAACTACCAAAAGACGGAAACGATAAGAAGTCATTTTAGACTACTCAATTTTTTTGTAGAAAAAAAGGTCTAATCCGATTAGGAAAGTTTTGTTGATTTATGTGAAGCAGTTTTTGAGTTGAACAAAAGAGTACTTTTAAAATATATATTGATTGCACGAAGTTCTTAATAAGCTACTTCTTCAAGAGATTTCATAGACTCATGGAAATACTTTCTTTCGTTCTACTTCGATTTAAACATATCACTAGCAAACTATTTCGATTGTTTTGTCTGTAGAAATAGCGTTAAAGCAGCTCCTTTGATCTACTATCCGAAGACTCTTGATTCCGCTCTACAAAGGAATAGTACCCTACTGAAACTTGCACATTCGACTCTGCTGGTCGGATGTGCCTATCGAATAGATCGATTAATATTGAAATTCCTGCTAGTAGTGTTGGATTTCGAACTACGTTATCGGCTGTGGTTTGATTTTTAATACAATTGACATTCTGAATCTTATTAAACGGTCTTCTGATTGTTCAACCTCTGAAAAGTGTTGACTTCTCAAGCCTATGACTTAATCAAGCAAATGGTAGAGAACCTCAGCTTTCAGAATAATTTGAGAACGTCTGATTCATAAGTGTGAAACAAAAACAAAAATACTTGGTAAGCAATATTGTTTCGAGAGTGAACATATAGCTAGTTGGATAAATTGTTGGTCAAGCCATTTATCGAACAGATAGACAATTCGTCAGGTAGTTAAACGAATAATTAATTAAGTAGACAGATAGATTGTTAAATAAACAGATAAATACAGGGATAGATAATTACATAACTGATTACAAAGATAAATAATTAAACAAATCGATAAATAAATAAATAGGTAGAGAGTTAAATTAGGAATTTAGTTAGTAGATGTGTACATAAAAAGATATATTCAAGAATGAAAATAAAATTGAAAATCTCAGTCGCGAGAGTTTGGATCTCGAAAAAAACTAATACAGATATTTTCTGAAGTCCGAATTTTCGTATTATAGAAAAAAGCGAATCTATATGTATCATTTTTTTCATGCAAAACCTTCAAACGATTCACAATTTGTTACGATTTTCCAAACTTTTTTTAGGTTTGGTGCAGCGCTTCTATTTTTGTTCCAGAATACACGCTCTTTTTACTATGTAGTTTGACCATACTATAAAATATAAGTGAGCATAGTGCTAAACGGTACATCTGTTTTGATATAATTTACGACAATTATAAAGAGTTGTGCAATAAAAACCATAAAATTCATCCAAATATAAATACTTTTTATTTCTTTTTGTAAGTATTAAAGTATTATATCTTCCCAATATGAATGTTTTAAATGTAGAATAAATAGAAACAGAAAAATTCGTAGTCTAAACTATTATTCTTATTTTTCCTTTATAGTTAATGCCAAAAGCACGTCAAAAATATATTCGTATTTGTTTTAAATTCGATTTTTCCTTTTCATCATAATGTTATCACCATCTTCATCAGATAATGACGACAATGAACTAAATATCATTGATTTATTGTATCATTTATGTAAAGAAAATGAAATAGGTGAATTTCAAAATATTCTACCACATATTGATAATATAAGTATTATAAATAAAATTCAAAATTCAACTGATTCAACAAATTGGCATGTGGCATGTTATTATGGACATCAACATATGGTACCACTTTTATTAGAATATGAAGTTCTACATTCCATTAAAAATTTACGAGATAACTTAAAATCTTATGGAGAAACATTTATAAATCATATAAAACAGCTGTTTATAGAACATCGGAAACTATTTTCAAATAATAATTTTGATTATGATTATATTGAATGGTCAGTAGTAGGAGATGATCTCCTTAGAAAACGACATGAATTCCGTCAAGCTATTGATTTATATAAAACCTATAATAACCATCATTTAGTATCAAAATCATTAGTTGAACTTATTCATTATTATTTAAATGAATAGCTGATAAATGAAAGTAATGATAATAGCCATTCAGAAGATCAAGTTACTAGTAAACAAATTGAAACTATCGAAGCATATTTTAAAGAAGCTATAGAAAAACAAGATTATTTAACATATTTTATAAAAACTTATACATTAACAAATTTTTTTAATCATATATTAAATAAACATTTGGCTTTGTATATATTACAATATTTTGATAAAACAAAAGATTTTTCATCGAATTATCGTCCTGTGAATTGTCTGATTCACATTGTTAGACTCTTAATTTATCAGCGAAATTTACCTCAATATCGATATCAAGGTTTATGTTATTGTGGTATGAGAATAACACAAAATGATTTAGATCAATATCTCTCAAATCAATATATATTAAATCGTTCATTTTTATCAACATCAATTGATCGTAAAGTAGCTGAAATGTTTGCTAGTGAAAGTCAACAATTCAAAATGAGACATACTCCTAAAGATTATTGTGCATTACAATATTCATGTTTATGTCAATATTTAATAAAACAAAATTCAACAGCTATCAATATACAAAGTTTATCAACAAGATCGAATGAAAAAGAAATTTTAATTCTTCCGTTTACCGTTTTTAAAGTAATAGCAATTAAACGAAATTATCTTGATAATCCAACAGCATCAATTTCAATTGAAATTGAATTAGAAGAATGTGAAGATCCAAAAGATAATAAAAATGAATCAGCCAGTAAGATGCTTTTGCTTCATATATCTCGAAAAAAATTATCTCTTTCAATTTTATCAAATTTTCAGATTGTGAAACATCAAGAACATCATCATTATCGTCAACTATTGATAGCAACAAAGATGTGGAAGAACATCAAAAATTCAAACCACGAAAACGTTGTCTTTATATCATCATTGGATTTTTGGTGTTCGCTATTCTTTTGGCTTTAACTTTAACATTCATTTTCATTTTCGTTATTCAAAAAGATTCCACGAAAAAGACTACAAACATGGCAACGTCTACAAATATGACAACATCTACAAACATGGTAACGTCTACAGACATGGCAACGTCTGCAAACATGACAACATCTACAAACATGGTAACGTCTACAGACATGGCAACGTCTACAAACATGGCAACGTCTACAAACATGGTAACGTCTACAGATATGGCAACGCTTACCACAAAAAACAATTGTATTGATAACGATACATTTCTAGAAGGTAAAACTGAGATAATAAAAAAGCTTGTCAAAGAAGGTTCGAACAAGCTAAAATGTGAAATCTTCCCTCAACTGCGCCGAAATATGTGTATTTTGGCTTTTAAACATATTATTTAAAATTCATTCGTTTCTTATTGACAATTAAAGCCACTGAGTTTGATTTCAGATTATTCAATCAAATCCCTAATTCTATATTTAATAGATCTCAAGGAAGTATGTAAAGTTGATTTCTTCGCTAAAAGACTAAAAAAACTTGATAGATTTAGAGTAAACTATTCTTTGCAAAAAACTACTAAAAAATTCTATTCTCTATTGAACAAATACAAAATAGACATGTTTGATGTTCACATCTTGTAGGTTGTCCCAATATATTAGAACGATCTAGCTGGAATGCACGTCCCTATAGAAGTCGTGAGATTTTAAAAACATTACCGGTTACAAATATTGTTGTACACCAAATACTAGGTTATAATTCAATTATGAATCACCAGAATTGTATTAAGAGTATAAAACAAATTCAAGATGATTACCTCGATACACTAAAATACGATGATATTGGTTATAATTTTATCCTATGTGGTGATAATGATGACCAACAACAAATTTATACAGGCAGAGGATGGAATATTACTGGTGCACATTGTATAAGTTATAATACAAAATCATTGGGTAAGAATGAATTTCTCTTTTAACTTTCTACAGCAACGAATCTTAGATTTTTGTCAATTTGATCTTGTCATACCGTTAAAAGAATTTCCATAGAATAAAAAGCCCATAATGAGTTTATGAAAGTGCAACAATCGACAAATCCTTTAAGCATACATCAAAAGTATCAATATATCTTTAAACGATCATCGGAATAGCCAATGTATCCTTGAAGAATACATTGACAACTTTGGTGTGCACATGAAACGTTTATAAATTGTTGCACTTTTATAAACCTATTATAGATTTTTTACTCTATAGAGATTTTTTAGAATGTAGTAATCAAAATCTTATATGAATTTTGATGTATATCGCTATTATAAGAGCCAGTCCATGAAAAAATCATTAAAATTTCAAGATTCAATATTTTTAAAAACAGCTTGCCTCAAAATTCATAAAACTATAGCTTCTATTACATGTCTTAAAGTGAGAAAGATCTGATCATTTTCATTGAGCATGCTTCTTGAGTATTGATCGTGGTTTACATGGACTAACTCACAATGGTGTTGGTTGCTAAAGTGTTCTATTGCTTCCCAAGTTAGTATTTTGAGATTTCAAATCATCTTCTTTTGTTTTTTGAAAGGTATTTGGATTATTGGCAATTATGCCGATATAAAATCTTTAAAGGCATTCAAATCATTTATTCAATGTGGTATTATGAAGAATTATATTATGAAAAATTTTACACTCGTTGGACATTTTAATTCAGAAAATATTTACAAATATTACCTAGCACATTTTAGAAATGATACCGATCTTCAATATAGCAATCAAGCCAGCAAAGAACAGTTTTGGTGTGCACGCTAAAAGGGATGCCGTACTCTTAAAAATAAACATGTCATAAGGAATCATTTATTGTTTTAGTCAAGCCGCTGAACTTTCTAAAGTTTTATTCGTTTATTAATAAACTATCAAAGGTTCTAGATAACTTAAAGAACCATGCTTTGCGCACCTGATAACATGGTAGAACCTTTCAATGGTCTCGAAGGACGTGTAAAACAAAAAAAAGGTCCTGCAGAAAAGGTGGTTTTTTTAAATTATCCGACGATAAAATCTTCAAGTCAAAAAAGGGCTTTACGTTATTTCAGAATTTTTTAAAGAGTACAGCAAAATAAGATTTCCAATTTTAAAACCAAGCCTCCTTTTCTCTATGGAGCCTAAAAAGGTTTCGTACCTCTACCGAACCTTTTCTTAAGTGCAGTACTGCAACTTTCTTTTTAGAGTGTAGTTAGGGTGTGGGTGTGAATGTGGGTGTCTTCTCTTCATTCACAGCTGCAACCACACCCCATACCTACACTCATACCCACATCTACACCCATGTTCCTAAGTATTGGTCAACACTCATTGAAGAATTAATAAAAAAACTTAAGCTTTGTTCTTTGAAGATTTTGGATTTTTGTTCGAAATGTAATAACTCTTCATTGAAGGCCTGATAACAGTCGTATAATCTATTTGCCAATCACTTACGACACAGCGATACGCCATTAAATGTTGACTTGTAAAAAACCAACTACAGTGTTACCCTTGTTGTTCTTTAATGCATAAACAAATTGTCACACCACTAAATGACGCATGTCTTGAAGGAAAAAGACAATCAGTGTCGTTAGCACCTGTGTAAAACGCATAGGCATCAGCGTTTGGAGTATTTCATAAAAATTGGAAATCGATTATATGAAATGTTGCAAATTATGTATCTTGATTAGAAACGGGAATGAACTCAGCGATTATAAATTGATAGACACGAGAAACAATAATTTGTAGAAAAATAATAAAAGCTCGGGACAATCTTGAGATATATAAAAGAAGTCTCAGTCTGAATTTAAATACGAATATTGAAAGATACTTGAGAACAACGCTTATCTCGATATTATGCTCACATATAGAAGTGGTGCGGAACATGAGCAAGAGGGAAACATTATACTTTTGTACTTTAAACTATCCCGAAGTACCTGGAACTAGAGGAGAACTATTTTTCTTTATTTAATGCTTAATTTTAAAGATTAACAGCTTCTTTAGTTTGAAATATTAATATTAACTTTTTTGCTTGGAACGTTTAATTTCCTTAAAAATTTAGTGCTTAACTAACGAGGAAATTTTGGAATATTTTTTTTTACTCCTAGAGCAATATGAAAGGGAATTCATATGATTTTCTTGTCATAACCTCAAAAAGTGTGAAAGTCAATTTTAAAGTTTCAAAAACTACGACTACCAATCGATTTCTCGACCCCGAAAATCTTTAGTCAAGTTTTGAAAAATTCAGCCAGGTTTGCTTTTTTTCGTCTAAAAACGTGAGAAAATCGATCTACAAATTTTATTAGTGCTTTCGTAAACTTTCAAGATCGACTTTCTCGCGTTTTTAGATAGAACCAAGGAAATCCGACTGAATTTTTTAACACTTGACTAAAGATTTTCAGGATCGAGGGATTGATTCGTAATCGTGGTTGTCGAAATTTTGACATTGATTTTCTCACTCTTACAAATGCAGCGGTGGTTTACCCGCTAATGAGAGTTAATTAATATTTTGTTCAAAAAAAAATAGTCCACCCTACTTGGAAGTGCACAGAAGTATTGAAAAGTACCGAAAGTATGAAGTACAATGTTTCACCATTGGATACGAGCCATTTGAATCATGTGGCTCTGTTTTCCGTCGACATTTCACATTGATGGACATTGTTGCCATGATTTTCATCGTTTATGAACACGAAAATAAATGAAAGAAACTACTGAATAGATCGCTCAATCGAGATTCATCCAATACATAAGCAAAAATCAGGCATATAATAAAGTCAATCATTTGCAAGGCAATCATGAACATGGAACATTGAGAACAACAGCGACGGTGAATAAATAATTTCATCTCATGATCAATTTATAAGTTCAGTTCACATAGGACAATATTTGCAACTATCTATATTTTACTCTCATATTTATAAGAGATAGCCATTTTTGCTTTGTTCTCTTGATCAGATTTCGACAATGTAGCAACTCGTGTATTGATAATACAGCAATCAATGCTAGCCTATTCAATCAACGTTCGATTTCGTCTTTCATAGAAAAATATTCAAAATTTATTAGCTGAAAACTGACAGAATTTTCTTCCTTTGAATGTCTTTCAACAGCACTCTTAGTTTAGCAACTCAACTGGTAAACCATTCAGATTCATGATATAACACGCTATCAATATGTGTTGTTCTGTGTCTATTTATTTGCATTCGCTTTTATACTCCAGGTGAAAAATCACATGGCGTCTCCTATTTTAACTACTCGACGAAAAGAATTCGAAATAACAATGTGTACAGAAGAACATTATAAAATTCTACCTCCTTTTTCACCATGCACAAAAAGGTTGGACACACAAAAATAATGTGCTGCATATCAGAGATCTGTAGATGCAGACGAAGACTGATCGCTTTTCTAGTTTAATATAGTTCACAATCGTGTTTCACAAAGAGAATCAATTTACTTCGAAAGGCTTGTGTATGACTTGACAGACATCGCAAATCGTCCAAATCCCGCAAGATCCTGTTAGACCCCCTAGTTCCCGTCAGACCCTCTAAACTCGCATGGATCCATTTATGTCAATAGCGAATTATTTTGGAATTCTTTTTTAAAGTTTCATTAGAAAAAAATCTGTTTAATGAATGAAATATGAAAAGGATTTGATGAAAATGAATTAATGTAGCTAAAACAATCATATAAATCTTACACGAAATTAAAAATGTTGATGTTTTCTTACTTGAATTCCCTATAGTGTTCTTTTGAATTTCTACAGGAGTTATCTGAGTAAGACAAGTTTGCCTGCAAAAAAGACACTGATTCCTTGCAGATAATCAAATTCGCGGAAAATTGAGTAATGAAAAATGAACTCATCATCCCGCGTTCTTTCTCCGAATGCGAGGAGCGAAAAAGAAGAATAAGCTGATACATAATTTTTCTGCGCCATACAGCAGTGAATCACTTTCAATATCTCTCGAGTGTTTTATCTTATTGCGCCATTCACGTATATATAAGGAGAAACTCGATTATAGGATCAAACATTTACATACTTGATTATATTCATTTAACACTATTCGAGCGTCGAGCATCAACAAGCGACAATGCAGAAGATCAGTCAGTTGGTCTGTTTCATTATCATATTGTGCTTGGCCACAACAAACTGCATGGCACAGCAAATGGTGAAAGGAAAGTTCCTCTCCGAAACATTCTTCTCACTATCCCCCTTGCTGTAGAACACAATATGTCTTTCTTTGGGTTATATCTTTGATATGTAACGTATATAACTGAACGAAAGAGTTCCATTAAACTCTGAAACAATGATCACGGTCCGATAAGTTCCAAAATATAAGTTCATGTCAAGTGCTGACTGTATTTCGGCTTTTAAATAGATTGATTAAAAGTCACTCTTTCCTTATTGACACTTAAAACGACCAATTTCGAGCTCAGACGAGTTAGACAATTCGCAAAGTCTAGGTTTCCTAGGCATGGAGGGGTCATATTAAGTTGATTAACACTTAATGTATTTCGAGTAACGATTGTTTTCAAAAAAAAGATCCTATTCATTTTTCAACAAGTATTCAACATGTTTTCTTTGTAGGTTGTTCCGATATATTAGAACGATCTAGCTGGAATGCACGTCCCTATAAAAGTCGTGAGATTTTAAAAACATTACCGGTTACGCATATTGTTGTACACCAAATAGCAGGTTATAATTCAATTATGAATCACCAGAATTGTATTAAGAGTATAAAACAAATTCAAGATGATTCCCTCGATAAACTAAAATGGGATGATATTGTTTATAATTTTATCCTATGTGGTGATAATGATGACCAACAACAAATTTATACAGGCAGAGGATGGAATATTACTGGTGCACATTGTAAAAATTATAATACAAAATCATTGGGTAAGAATGAATTTCTCTTTTAACTTTCTAGAGCAACAAATCTTAGATTTTTATCAATTTGAACTTGTCATACCGTTAAAAGAATTTCTATAGAATAAAAAACCCATAATGAGTTTATGAAAGTGCAACAATCGACAAACACTTTAAGGCATGCATCAAAATTGTCAATGTACTCTTGAACATTCATAAGAATAGCCAATGTATCCTTGAAGAATACATTGACAACTTTGGTGTGCACATGAAATGTTTACGGATTGTTGCATTTTTATACACCTATTATAGATTTTTTACTCTATGGAGATTTTTCAAAATGTAGTAATCAAAATCTTATATGAATTTTGATGTATATGGCTATTATAAGAGCCAGTTCATGAAAAACTCATAAAAATTTGAAGATTCAAGTTTTTTAAAAACAGCTTGCGTCAAAATTCATAAAACTATAGCTTCTATTACATGTCTTAAAGTGAGAAAGATCTGATCATTTTCATTGAGCATACTTCTTGAGTATTGATCGTGATTTACATGGACTAACTCACAATGGTTTTGGTTGCTAAAGTGTTCTATTGCTTCCCAAGTTAGTATTTCGAGATTTCAAATCATCTTCTTTTGTTTTTTGAAAGGTATTTGGATTATTGGCAATTATGCCGATATAAAATCTTTAAAGGCATTTAAATCATTAATTCAATGTGGTATTATGAAGAATTATATTATGGAAAGTTTTACACTCGTTGGACATTCTAATTCAAAAGATATTTACAAATATTATCTGGAATATTTTAAAAATGATAATGATCTTCAATATAGCAATCAAGCCAGCAAAGAACAGTTTTGGTGTCCAAGCTAAAAGGGATGCCGTACTCTTAAAAATAAACATGTCATAAGGAACCATTTATTGTTTTAGCCAAGATGCTGAACTTTTTAAAGTTTCATTCGTTTATTAATAAACCATCAAAGGTTCTAGATAACTTAAAGAACCATGTTTTTCGCACCTGATAACAAGGTGTGGGTGTGGTTCTGGGTGTGGGTGCAAGTGAATAAGTTCAACACCCACACCCTATCATATGGAGGTACCCATAGGTCCTTGTCGGCTATTATATGAAGTATCCATAGACCCTGAAGGAAGTAAGGCCGTAAGAGGGTAGGTAATAACGGGTAAGGCAGTAAGGAGATAAGGCTATCAGAACTACAAGGGATATAAGGGCGAAGGCTATATGCACTATAAAGATATGTGCGATATAAAAGTATGAGGCTGTGGGGCTATCTCTCTATATGCATAATATCGAGTATCTATATGTCTGTTAGCGGATGAAACGTTAAACGTCTGATGTCATACGTTAAAGGAGAAAACAGCTGTGCAGTATGCAGAGGTTCTCGCTAGTAAATAATCCTAATGTTCCTGTATATCCCAACTGTGATTACCGTAAAAATCAAATACCTCCCTCTAGGCAAGGCAACAGCCACTAATATTTCAAGCTTGTTAGTTTGGGAGTGAGAGCTTTTCTTGAGTGCAATAATATCTGGTCTTTTCAACTTACAACGCAAACATCTCCATTGTAAGAGATGCATTCGGATCGTTCAAAACAAACTATGATTTATTATAGATAACTCCCGCTTGAATATATAGAACAGTATGAGATGTATTGCAGAAGCGACAGTTTACCTTACTTATCTAAATCAGAGGGGCACAGCTTTGATATGGAATTCTTATATCATAACACCAAACTGAAGAATAGTGAAATATTATAGAATTCTAAAACACTGTTTAGACTATCAGTATATACAGTAAGTATTAAAATTGTTCGACTAACTGATAATCTTATTTTCTATTGTGTATATCTCAAAAACTAGATCAGCTAGAATCATCTTGTTTCTATCAGATTATGATCAATAATTTCTAGTACACTAGTAAAAAATTTTCATATCAATTCATTAATCTCTTTAGTTATTATTGACAATAGAATCACATCATGGCTTTTTTATTCTTCCAAAATTATCCAATCACTTATTTTCGCAAACTGCTGTGCACCTATTAGAAGTTCAAATTTTCATTCTGATATACGGTTCAATAGAACAACTTTTACCCTACGTAATTTCTATAATATTGAGCTAATTTTATTGTTTATTACATGATTAATAAGAATACTATAAACTATATCAGATATTCTATTTCAATAGATATTCCATATTGAAAAATTGTTTTATTCAAGTATCGAAGAAGGTAAAAGTTATTTTAATAGCGTGGGTTTATAGAGAATCTTTTTCTATAGAAAATACTTAGATTTGAAATCAAAAGTGATCATATCACTTAAGTTATATACCTTTGTTACACTATGGGTAACAGGAATAAAAAGCTTACCACCGTCCTAGCAACAGTCTAAGCGTAGATTTCACTAAATATATAGCAAATTTTTATGCATTACATCTTTGTGAATAGAGGATGAAATGTAAAACAATGCCCTATGTTAAATTTCATTTGATACATTGTTGTTTGGTAAGATACATATCGACTCTGTTGTTAGGACTGCAATAATTTTTTTTACTCCAGCTAGATAGTGTAACAAAGATAAAGAGCCTAAGAGATATAATAATTGATTCTGATTTTACGTTTTTCGATACGTGGATAAGACAGTACAAGCTTGTCCATCTGCGTTATTTCTGACTCTCTCTTCTCGAGATCATTGCAGCAGAAAATGATAATTTTTAATACAGACGTCTAATAAGTAAAAAAAAAGTAGAAAACTCGCAAAAAGATTATATAAATGCGGTACGAAATGATCTCACATTTCGGGTATGCCGTTCCAATTAACATAACAGCTAAATGGAGACTAGCTCACTATTTTTAATTATATCAGGTAAAAGATCGAGACCAAATCGTCAAAATCAACTTTTTGTGAAAGTTATTAAAGATGAACGAAAACTCACATTGAAGATTTAAAAGCCCTTGTATCATCTGGAGACATGAATCTCTCTGGTATAGTTCGAACAAATTTCTAACGACTTGTTGTCACTAGATCATTGTGATACAAAGTAAAGATTTTGTTACAAAAACTCACAAAGTATAAAGCCTGAATACATATACAACCGACTACAGAAATGCTCTGCTTTGCACTGCATTAATTTTCGTCATATTGATTTTATGACATGTTTGAATTAATTAATTTAATGTGCAATCAGGATCAATAAATTTATTCTTTATTATTATGACACAAATAAAAAGTTAGCACAATGTATTTATTAAAGAAGGCAATAAGCGCATCAATATTATAAGAAATATAAACAAAAACGAAAAGGACACAACAAACAAAACTTGTACAGATCAATTTGTGAGGAAAGAAAGTATCACAAGCTGTAAAATAATCTATTTATCTTCACATAATTCATTTTCTGTTTTGATTTGTTCTTCCTAAGAAAAACAAAATGATAAAATATAAAACGATAAATGAAATAAAAATGAACGAACTTGTTCTGATATAAAATCATTTTTAATATTAAATGTTTGTCGAACTTCTTCTGGTGTTTTTCCTTTGATCATATTTGCAACTAATTGACATGTTACATCAAGTAATCCTTTAATATCTAAATAATTAGCAGCCTAATAACGAAATTAACAAAAAACAATTATATTTTTAAGACTAATAGAAATTATTCACAAACCAAAATAAGTTCAAAAAGTGTTCCTTGATCAACTTGAAGAAACTCTTGGTCCCATGACGATATATTTGTATTTTTTTCACGATTTTCATCATCTTCTGATGGTAGTAGTGGAGGATCATCTTTATGATATGTTGCCCATTGAATAACCTATTGAAATTAATTATTGAAAAATATAAATTGTTTTTAAAATTTTACTTTTTTAAAAATAGCTGAATTAATATTTGGTAATGGTATTACTTCTTCATCGTTCATACCAAGATCTTCAAAAAAAAAAAATTATAATTCATTTTATTTAAATAAAATCAATTATTTTACCTTCTAACATTGTTTTTATCGTTATTGATAGTTTAGCAATTTCAATTTCAACATCAAATATATCGTCATCATTAGATTGTAATTTTATTTTATGTCCAGTCATTTCTTCTTTTTTTAATTGCATTGATAATAGTCAATAAAATACTATCTAGAACACAATAAATAATTTTATTCTTCAAAAAACAAAAGCTCATATCGATAAAATATATTTTTTCGATAAGTATTCAATAATTATTTCATATATCGACATAAAACTAAACTAGAGACGAAAATTATACTTACATGTTTTAATAATGAATTGAATGGCGAAAGTATTTGTGCGAAATGACTCTTACTTTATATGGCTAATATAATGTTGGAGGAGGTTGTGTGTCTTTTGCTTTTGCGGTGTGTACTTATATAGATAAAGGCACAAAGGTTACGCGAGACAATAGCCGTCAAGATAGAAAGGCATCGTTCATAGTGGACGGCAAAATGTGAAAGAAAGTCATGATAATATACATCAACGAATAATAATACTTATAACATCATTGTTCTTTACGATGTCGTTTTGTTGTTTTCTATCTGATTGTATGAAAATGAAAATCAAGAAATGATTATCCATTATGTATTTACTATATGTTTAAAGATGATATATCATCTGTGAAAAATATATAATCTTTGATACTGATACTGAATAAAGAGTCATACAAGATCAATTGTTAACTATTAAGTTAATTTTTCAAACAGTTTATATTATTAGAAAATTTGCAAATCTATCAGTAGACTTACAGACAACAATTCAGTATCATAAAAATATCTTCATTAGGAGATGCTGTGTTTTTTTCAAATGATCTTAGAATGAATATTCAAACAGTTTTTAGTTTTAATCAAATATTATTCCAAAAGACGAATATTCATCGCTCTAATACATAAAAGTGCGTTCACAATTTTATCGAAATCGGAGATGAAGTCATTTCATGCATCTTGAATCTTCTGATTATATCATACGATGCATTTTGTTACTTTCCTTTTAAAGAGTTATTTCATTTGTAACTCTGTTACGCACAATATAATAGTATTATTGAAACGAAAAGTCTCGTTGTGGTGAGCTAGTACTTCTCTCTCTCACTTTTTGTATAACGCTTTATTTGAATTTCCGGAAGCTTGTATAATTTTCTGTTGATGGATGTAGAGGAGGTAATAGAAAAATATATCTCAAAAGTTTTTCTTTTTCTTTTTACAAAGCTCGATAACAAGACAAAGATTAAACTTAGTTATCGATTTCCTGTTGCTTCAATTAATCTTTTTTATTTTTATAATTGCTTATTCATTTCAGACCTATTCAAAGAACATAATAATACATCGATGTCAAGGGAACCTTTATCATCGTCTTCGAAACAAGTGCCACTAGATGGCAATCAATATCGATTGTAAAATTTTCTCTGGCACGACTTTATGCCAAAATGTGAGGCATCCGGTAAGTCAATGATAGCCGGATCAACAATTAAAACTGTTGATGGAAGTCGAATTTCATCAAATGTAAAAGCTGATCGTGCATGGATTATCTATGGCAATGGCGATCAGACGCAAATTTGGGAAATTTCAGTTGTCGAAGAACGTCCATAAGCACATAATACGAAACGCGATGAAATTAAAGTTACAGCTCGATATGGGAACCACATGTCTATATCGATGTTATTGTATGACTCCATAATTCAAAAGAACAAACCGTTCTGCTACAGGCTAAGCATCAGTGAATCCATCGTACAGATTGATTTTTCATAGTTATCATTTTCCATCAGACTGGCTTAAAGATTCAGAATATTCCATCGAACATTTTCGTCTTTTTTTCTTGTATCTGTCTAAATAATAGAAAAGTATTCATTATCTGCAGTTCAACAATACCTTATTTTTATTATGAAAATAGTTAGGAGTACATTCGTTTTTGAAAATGCCCATTCAGAGATACCACCTTGTTGGGTGGAAGTATGGGCGGGGGTCATCTGCACATCTACATCCACATCCAACTTCTAACGATTGTACAAGAATGATTGATAAACTTCCTAAAAACCGGTAGAGAACAAATACGTAATAGTTAAATCATATTTTTGTGTAATCAGATTAATGTGTGTATTTGTAAACTAGAATGTCTTTCTTTTCTTTTCTAATAAAATCTTTTATTGATTATAACATTCTTATGTTTATGTTTTTATTATTACAAGAGTAGAAGTTATCCAATAAATATGCTATTTAAAAGATCAACATGATTACTTAAAACTTCATATAAATATATTCGGTTCGAGATTATTTTCTATTTGCAAATAAACTAATTTTTGTCAAGCTTCAAGACTTATGAAACACGCTGTATCAGTTTTACTGAAGATTATATGTAGAATACATCCGAAAGTTATCTACTGGAAAGAGAACCATCGAACAACATTATATTCTAACTTGAGTAGATTTATCTTATATGAAAGGAGAATGAAAAAATACGTTTAGAAATGATTTTTATCGCATAAGAAGTGTTCCTAAACGTGTGGATAGATCTATTGAAGAAAAGACCCAGATGTATATATCCTCTGTGTACACCTTACTGATATGCCTCGAACTCATTTTAATTCGATCAACAAGATTAAAATTGATTTTTGATTAATATCATATTATGACTGAAAAAATCGATTAACTGAATCATTTTTTCATTGGATTTAGGGATTTTCATCAATTTTGATCAGATTTTCTTGCAAAAAAAAACAGAATTTTCGATCAAAAAGTACGATTTATACAACGTTCATCAACCATAATCACGGTTTACTTAAGAATATATTTCACTGGAATGGATAGTGAACACTTGAATACGAATCTTTAGAAAAAAAAAATTCAGTAGAACACGATAAGAGAGTGGAGAGAAATGAAGAGAATATGTGCGAGCTCATCAAAAATTTGCAGCATATATTTGAGTTCAATTTTCGTTGAAAAGATTTTCAAATGACTCGCCATATATCAAAACCTCTAAATCTAAAATTTCAACTGAAAAAATCTTGTCTTTATCAAATTATGTCTCTATCATTAGCTCTAAGCCATCAGGATTTTGAAATTTCAATGCTTGTCGCTATTTTAATTATGGTTTTTTTTTCTAAAATCTTCTATAATTAAATATCATTTCATAAAACATTCAGTTTACTAGATGGAATAAATCGTCAATCTTTTATTATATTGAAGTTTTGCAATAAGAAAAGTTTGTTGAACATTTTATAGAATATATTATTCTCTACAAAATAGAATAAATTTCAAGCTTCTTAAATTGTTCATCGCTAATATTGAAAAAAAAAATTACGCAAAATATAGGAGTTGTCATCCAAAAATTGTAGCATAGGGATATGGATATTTTTCACTTGAAATTTGTTCGAGCTTGATTTGTTTTCGCCAATAGGAATATCAATATCTTTGATATTTTTTAAGTTATAACCTAAATGTATATATTTTATAAAATAAATATTATCATAACTTGTATGTTATCAAGAATATTAACAGTAGACAAATGTTTCTCATTGAAAAACTTAAACAAATATGCAACTATGATAATTTTTAAAATAAGTGTATTTATCTGACAAAATCTTTATTAAAAGTGAAAATTGACATGTTTGAAAATGAAAATTATATTTAGTTTGTAGAAGATGTGCCTTCTCATCCTATAAAAATTCTATTGAAAGATATTCTTTCATTTATTTTTCTTAGTCTTCTTTTGCACATATTTATCAGTAAAATGTTTGGCGAATTCAACAAGGTTCTTATGCTTACAATGTTCGAATAGCTTCAAATGACAAAATTTGTTATTTTAGCACAAAATAAACAAATGAAATTCATTATTATACAAAGCCTTTACAATAAATATTTGTCGAGTTGTACTTTTAGCTTTTTATTTTAACGAAATCTAAACAAGAAAAAACTGTGGTCTATAGTTTAGTAATCACAAGTGAAGACAATTCAAATAACTATCTAGTTTTTATGAATATAGGCGAAGATTATCTAAATCAAGCTTATCTAATAATAACATTTTGGAAAAAACCTCATAACAGTTCTTTGTATCCTCAATTTATTTGCAGTGCAAAAGCTAAGACAATCATAGATTTAGGAGAAAATATGGAAAGACCATTAGTAGCTATCGATCCTCTTGGTACTCGAAGTTAATGCATTTGGATGGGATACGCTTATTAACATTAATATAACTTCTTTATCTCTTATGCCTGAATCAGATAAGTATGT